GGATTTGGGATTTGTGCTCCTTCCCTGCTCTCCAGGGATTTGGGATTTGTGCTCCTTCCCTGCTCTCCAGGGCCTCATTCCATGCTGGGGCAAACACAACAATTGAGGCTTTTAAACTTTCCTGTGTCTTTGGGCTGCTCTCCTGGAATTCCGAGTGGCTTTGGAGTCCTTCACACAATGAGAAATAGGCTCTTTAATATTGTTGGCAAAACCTCCTTACAAATGTTGCATTGTTCCAATTGCACTTTAGAAGGTGCTCAGTGTCACCAGGGCCCTTGGATTGATACGAATTTAATATCAGAAATCACTTTAATGGCTGTGGTACAGAACTCTCGTTCAGCAAATGCTTTAACTTGGAGTGGCACTTCAGGGTTGAGCAGCATTAGCTCTGACAGCCCTCATTGCTGGGAAAAAATGGGGGCTTCTCCTGGAAATAATTCAGTGGCAGAAAAATAAACAATAGCCATGAGTGCATCCCAGGGAAAAAACCTCCATAATACAGCCAAACAGAACAAGGAATATATATATATTTATATTCATTTTTATTTATATTTATTTTTATTTATATGTATATTCTATATAGAACTCCTCAGATCTGCAGAGTTGCACAGGTACAATTCCACAAATGTCACCTTTAATGTCCAGTATTGAATGCAGCTGCTTTTTACAGATTTCTGGTGAGGATCTAAACTTTAAATAAAYAGGGAAATGCAGCCTATGGCAGTGTAACCCACCAGGACAATGTGACCATTTAAGGGKTTTTGGTGGCTTTTGGTGTGGGATATTTTGGTGGGTTTGAGGGTTTTTTTAAATACTTTTACTGTAGTTTCATTCTTCTCAAAGAGTCATTCGTGACTTGGGCTGGGTCCATCAAAACTGCAAAAAGCAGTTCTTTAACTTTTCCAAGTGTGTGCCGTTAATTTTATTTCCATTAAATTAAAATGCTTCCTGGAGCTTTTTGTTTTGTTTTTTCCCCACCCCATTCTGTTGATAAGGGGCACTCTCAGGCACAAACCATTTATCTCTGATTTCCAAGAAATCCAAGTGTTTTCCCAACCCTGGGCTTTGGGCTTGCCCTTGTGGGACAAATGGGTGAGAATTACACGAGTTCAGTTGTTTCTAAACCTCTRCACTTTCTTTCCCTGGAAGTTTTGTGTTTTGTCTCTTCTCCAGAACTCTGAACAAATTCCCAAAAAAGCCCCGTGGCCATGAGCAGGGCAGGAACTCAACCCTGCCTGGCACCGGGTGCCAACCCTTGGCACCTCCCCACTAAACATTCCAGGGCAAAGTTCTGCTGGTTTTGTTGGCAGGGTGGGAAAGAAGGGAGAATTAGTTACTAAAAGAAAAAAAAACTGCATTTGATTTAAAAGAGAAAAATATATTTTTAGCGCTTCATTTTTGTTATAATCCAGTAGAGTGGAACAAGATTTTGGGGTGATGGGTTGGGGGAAAAGGGTTTTGTTTCCTTTTTTTTTTTGTTTAGGCTGATCCTCCAAAAGTTCCTTGGGTATGAGCTCAAAATGTTTTTAAGCTCCATTGCCAGGAAGGATCATCAGTGGTTCAAAATGCAGGATCAGAACATGGGAATGTGGCTTAGAAATAATTAAAAAATAGAATTACACTGCTCTCAGACCTCATGTGCCTCCATTTTTGGGGGTTTGTTTGTTTTTGAAAGATCCATTTCCCTTCATAGAAATGTTTTCAGATCTAACACTGATAAATAACTGTGTCAAAACAACCTTAAAATTGCTGTAGGCTTGAAATRCATCTGAGTTTAGTGGTGTTG